TCACATTTCCTCCTCCTCCTCCTCCTCCTCGCTTTAGTATTTTCTTTACCATCTAAATACTATTTATTTTCCTTATTTACTTAGTCTATTGTCTGTCTTTTTACTAGAATGCAGCTGCCTGGAGGGCAGTGTTCTTGTCTGTTTTGTTCACATTGAACCTGCAGTGCCTAGAGTAGTGCCTGGAATGTGGTGGTCCATTAAATATTTGTTATATGAATAAATAGTGGACATACAGACAGGGTCCCTGCTCTCCTGAAGCCTGCATTCACTCAGGGAGAGCCTGCTGGGGGTATGGATGAGGAGGGGGTGGACAGGCTGCAGACCTTAGGCCACAGAGGTCTCTGAGACCCCTCCTCTCCAAAGGTGTCATCACAGGATTGCATTATTACTAGTCTCGAGCAGCACGGTTTATAATAGGAGCTAACTGCTTACTAATTAGCAGCTGGAACAGTTAATTGGCTATTTGTTAGAGCCCGATTTAATAAACCCGTCTTTCAGCGGGATCGTAACTCTCCCCGTTGCTCATCCCCTCCCAGCCAGCCTTCCCACCTGAGAGAAAGTGTCTTGCCCTGAGATTGAATCGATACCTGCCACTGTATGATTTTCAGAGACAATTTCCCTCGCAAGGCGATGACAACATCCCCTCAAAGACTCTTTCTTTCTTTCTCCCTCTCCTCTTCCAGGCTGACTTGCTGGAGGTGAGTGAGCAAGAGGCAGAGCAGACGGGGAGCTTTCTAGTAATACACTGTCACGACAAAGGCCCAGCGCTACCCTGCGGCGGCTCCAAGGCTTGGCGCTGGTTCCCTGGCCTGTCACACACCCTCAGTCGGCAACTAGTTCCTGAGACCTCCTGGAGCCCAAGCGCTGGACTTTCTCTGGGGAGAATAATGGGATTTTTCTTAGAGCATCTTGGGTGGAGCTCAAGAATTGGCCGTTGGTTGCTGACCACTGAGCATCCAGGCCTCGGGCCTCATCCTGCTCAGGTCCAGTGGTCTAGCTCTCTGCTTGTGAAAACACTTAGTAGGCACGGAAGCCTTTAGGTCTCCTCAGTATAGAGAGTGGGACAGGGCAAGGTCACAGAGACCAGCTACCTAGATCAAAGTCCAGTTAGGCCCTGAGCAGTTTCATGAGTCACTGAATCTTTGCTGTTCTATGAGAATAACAGCATAATTGTAATGTCTCACATAATTGTAATGAGGATTAAATAGTTAGTACTCATGAAGGGCTTAGAACAGTGCCTGGTATATGGTATCAGCTATTATGTCTCTCAATCACTCTGAGAGATTGGGGTCCTACCAACTTTACAGCCTCGCAAGGTTAGGACTGGAAGGCAGGACTGAGGGCTCCCAAGCCTAGTGCTCTTTTCCTTCCCTTCGCTGCCTCCCATTGTCAGACTCAGGGCTCTGGCTGAGGCAGCAGGCGGGGCTCACTTGGGGGACGAGATGACTGAATTTACAGGCACAGCAAACAGGCTGTCAAGGTATTTACACTGCATACAATTAGCTGCGGCATATTCACAAGTGGATTAGCTACAGCAAATGTTCAATCCCAGCTTGGCTCCAATTTGGTCCTCTGCCCCCACTCCCAACCCCACCCCAGTGCCTCCCCATCAGGAGACTTCTTTCTCCTCCAGGCCAGTATAGATGTTCTGAGATGACAAACTCAAGAGAATGTCAGCTGAGTCAGTGGGGTTCCCTGTCCCCCCATAATGCACCCCAAAGACAAAGAAGTACAATTAACTGCTGTTTGGGGTTGGACTAGCTAACTGGGAAACAGGGAGGCAAGTTTCCTAGGACATGGATACGGGCTCATTCAACTCAGAATGGGCAAAGCTGGGAGGACAGCAATCACTGTGATCACTCCCTGAAAGCTTCCTGGAAGAGGTGAGAATTTCTAGGAATTTTCAATTAATGGGAAGAAGATGACAATAAAAGAAGCTACTCATCATTGCACCTTTAGTTGGTACCACTTCCTTTTCAGACTGAGTGGAGGAAGTGGGTGGGAAGAAGCCAGATACCTCTGTCTTTCTTTGGGGCAGAAAATAGATTTTTCTCTTTGGAATAATGGTTGCAGGGTGGGGAGCACAAAGGATGGCTGCATTGAGGGTATCCTAGGTCTGTGGTATCTGGCCTATGATGGGCATCATTCATTCATCCATTCATTTAACAAATCTTCAGCTGGCATCTAATGGGTCTGGATCCCCTTATTCAGCCTTGGACCCACAGGAAAGAAAAGAGAAAAGGGGGGAGGGGATGGAGGAGGCGCAATTAAGTGGAGGTGGACTGGAGAATAGGATTCTTCACATGTTCTCGGACTTCCTGAGACCGACAGAAAGGGAGCTGCGGTTTCAGCTGCGGACCCCTCCTCCCCAATGCCGCCTTGAATTTTTCCTGACACTTACCACACCTCCCTCCCCCGCCCCCCCGCCCCCCCCGCCCCCCCCCCCCCCGCAGTGGGAAATCAGCCCCTGGTCAGTCAGAAGAGGAGGGGCCCAGCAGGAAATGGGCCTGCGGAAGGAGTGGTTATTATGACTATTTTAAAATTTTAATTTACATACGAAAATATTAACTCTTTTTTGATGTACATGTGTTTGAATTTTGACAAATGCTGAGTCGTGGAACCAGCATCACAACCAAGATACCGAATAGTACCGAGGGTTGGTGGTCGGAGGGTTGGTAATCTCCACTCTTGTTAGCTGCTCCGGTTGTCCGCGCTCCCACAAACCGCTCTAATATAATCCCTACGCACAGACCGAGATAAATAACGGCGACAGGTGGAGCAGGTGAGATTAGCAGGACTCGGGGAGGGGGACAAGATCGGAGGCGAGGGGAGGCCTCTCGCCTCACTTCCCAGTCTACATCCCTCCCCGCCGGCGTTTGGGAGGAGCGCTCTCCCCACCCCAGCTCCAGGAGGGCCCGGTTGAGGTAGCGGAGTGCCGGAGCGCCAGATGTCAGCGACTGGAGTGGGCCCGGGCTCGGCTGCGGGAAGGGAGTGAGCCCCTGGCGCGGCTGGGGGCGCCTGAGGTCTTGGGGAGGCTGGATGGCGAGAGGGACGAACTGGAGAGCATGAGGGATGGCTCGGGGTAGCTCAGGCGTCGGGGTCCTGCGGACAAACCTGTTGGCAACCTGTGGGCCGAGGCAAGGGCAGGAGCTCTAAGCGCTCCTTCTCATCGGTGGGCTCACCCGGCGGCCCCACGCCCTACGCGGAGAGAGGCTGAGGTGGCCTGGGAAGAGGCGGGGGCTCGGCCGGGGGCGGAGGGACTCCGGCAACGCGCACACAGCCCTGCAGACCGACAGCGGGAAGCCTGCTCGCGCGCCTGCAGGACCCCGACAACCGCGGGCTCCCGGGCCTTTCCCTTCGACCCCCGCTTCAGTCTTGCTCCCAAAAGTGCAAAACATTTACAAAGTGTGCAGTGCCCCGCAGGCTTGGGTCCCCGGGGCGAGCGGCCGTTCTTGCCCTGCGAGCGCACTGGGATCGGTGCACCCGGCTCGGGCAGCCGGTCTGGGTTTGCAAGGGCGGGCAGAGACCGAGTGTGCGAGCGCGCCTCTACCGAGCCCGCGCCGAAACCCACGTCTCTCCGCCACTGTCCTCGGGATAGATGGATCCATTTCTGCTTTCTGACATTTTCCTGCCGGGGGGTGGAGGGGGAGCGGAGAGAGGGAGAGATGGAGGAGGGGCAGAGATTGAGAGAGAGAGAGAGAGAGAGAGAGAGAGAGAGAGAGAGAGAGAGAGGCAGTCTGCTTCTCCCAGCCCTGTTTTGTTTTCTCTAATTGGTCCTGGGGGAGGCGAGGAAATTGGACAGAGGCTGGACCGGGCGAGCTGGGCTGCCTTTAATTGGCTCCCTTTTTTTTAAACTGGAGGGGAATCAAACAGGAGAGCGAGCGACAAAGGGTGGGAGAGCGAGAGACCGAACGCGGAGACGCGAGGAGGAGGGAGGAGGAAGGGGGAAAGGGAGGGAGGGAGGGAGGGAGGCGGGGGGAGTGTGGAATGAAAAGCTCCGAAGGGGGGAAAAGCAGCACAGTGAAGCCCAAGTTGCGGACCGAGCGGAGCGCTCCCGCGGCCCGGAGCCCAGCGGTCGCCGCGCCCGGGAGCCTGGCCCAGCCCCGCCCGCTCGGGGCCCCGGCCGGCTGAGGCCGCCGGGCGGGGGCAGGGAGAATCAACTTGGGGCGCGGCGCAGCCCCCTTCTCCTGAGAGCACCGAGTCTGGGAGCTTCGCCGCCGCGGCCAGACCGCAGGAGCTGAGCTCGGCGAGCGGAGGCGGCGAGCGGCGCCCGCGCTGCAGCCCAGGCCTCGGCGAGAGCGCGAATATTTTTCAAACGATTCAAACTTTCCTCCTTTCCCCGCTTCCTGGGGTCTCCCTTTACTGGAATTGCTTTCCTGATTCCCGCGGGGCGCCTGGGCGCGATTCCTCCCGGGGTTCCTCCGTGGCTTAGCTAACTTCGCGGACCGGGGCCCCGTGGCTCTCTCCCCTTGGCCGAGCCCAGTCCACGCTGCTTCCCCGATCAGGAAGGCCAGGGCCGGGGCTCCTCGCCTCCGGGAGGGCGCCCAGCCCGGCCCCCTTGGGTCGGGCCCTTGAGCCTTCAGCACCCACCGCAGGACTGGAGACAGCCGACTAACGGGTGCGGAGCCCGGGCCTCCCTGCCCCCGCTCAGCGGAGGGGCGTCCCCTGGGCGGAGAAACGACAAGTTTATCAGTCGCCCTTGGCCTGTTGGATCGAAGAGCCGCCTCCGACGCAGAGGGTCCCTGGCGCCCAGGACCCCGAGAGGAGAGCCCTGGGGACCCGGGGAGACTTGGCGGCCGGGATCCTCGGGCCGGGGCGCTGGCTGCTGCGTGGGGCGCGCGGAGGCACCCGGGGCCGGGCCAGCGCCCCCTGCGTCCTTACCCGGGCAGCGGCCCCGCCGGAGGAGAAACCCTGGTCGCCGCCGCCGCCACTACCGCCGCCGCCTCCTCAGTCCCCCGGTCTCCGTCGCCGCGGCCGCCCCCTCCGTCACCTCTCGGAGGAAGGGGAGACACAGGGGGCAACGCGGGGCCCCGGCGGATGCGCCCCCCGCCGCCTCTCGGGCTGCGCCGCCTCGCGGGGATGAAGCACCGGCCGTGAAGATGGAGGTGACCTGCCTTCTACTTCTGGCGCTGATCCCCTTTCACTGCCGAGGACAAGGAGTCTACGGTAAGAGCCCGTGTCCCGCTGCACGCTGGCTTAGCACCGAGCGGAAACTTTGCAAGAGGCGCAAAGTGCGCGCTGCCGGGGTTGGTGGGGACCCAGGCTCGCACTCTGGAGTGGATGCCCGGGTCCCCGCCCTTTTCCAGGGGCGAGAAGATCAAGCTAGCTGCTTCGGAGCACAGAAGCGGGTCGTAGGGTCTGTCGTGAAGCTGCTGATGCCAGGGGGAGGTTCCCACTTTCTCAGACCCTGTCAGGGGTGGGAGTGACTCGGACCCCTGGCGAGCACCGGTGGGCTCCGGAGACTTCGACAGACCCCAACCCAGGGGCTGGGGCAGCGACTAGCATCGAAACCTGGTTCTACCGCGGCTCGGCCTTCAGAGTGGAAGCTGAGCGATGCGCGACCCAGAGTTGCACGCGGCTTTCGGGAGAGCTGGCTGCCGGCACCGCCGCGGAGCCGCGGGCTCGCCTTCCTCGATCTCTGGGAGGCTTGGTTTCTTTACTCGCTTCTTGACAGCCGGAGGGGAAGCTACATCCCCTGGATTCGGAGTCTTAAACCCTGGCATCCCTTTTCGGACCTTTCTTTAGCCAGTTCTTCCTGTCACGGGTTCCCAGCTACAAAACCCCAGCCCCACCTTCCTTTTCCCTGTGTGTGTGCGCGCGCGCTCACATGTACACACACACACACACACACACACACACACACACACTCAGCCACCATCCCCAGAAAACACAAACAGCACGCACCACCCGGTACGTATCCATACTCTGCCTCCAGCCCGGCAGCTTTGCCCCGGCGTCCCCACACCTCGCTCTTGGGCGCCAAGGGGACTCCAGTCACCCCTTCTCTCATCTCTCCAGTGGGTTTGCCTGGGGAAAGGTCCGGAAAGTAAGCATTTTCCCTCTCAGGGACCCTCCTTCGAATTCTAGTAGCTTGAAATGCCCTGACCCCACAGCACAAAAAGTCAGTCTCTGGGCCAGTGGCCCTTACTTTGCTTTCTCCTGACTGCAGGGCGGTCTGTGTAGGCCACTTTTTAATGATGTGTAGCTGGAGTGGGATTCTCTTTCTTACTGAGGTTGAGGGCCTAGTTACTCGCCTTTAGATGAGGGGAGAGTTTGACCTGTTCTATTGGTGGGAGTCGGAGGCTTTGTCCCTCCCCACACTTGGCTATCAGCCTGACAAGAGGGAGGGGTGCCTGACAAGAGGGAGGGGTACCGTGAGGGGTTTCTGGGAGGTGACTTGCTTGGGCTTAATTCCCTGAGGAGGCTGGCCTAGGCATCTGGCCAAACTCTGCTTCTTAATTAGTTTGTGTGTCTCTTACTGCCTAGTCCTTTATATAGGCCAGAAAAGGAAAGAAGGAGGAATAATGTAGCAGGGACTGGGGGAGGCTGAGATATGGGGAGGAGGCCACTGAGTGGGTCCTAGAGGTTTCAGCTTCCCCAGGACAGGAGAAGACACCAGGGATGTGTGTGAAGGGTATTCTTTCTTCTTTCTCCCTACGTTTTCCCCACAGCCTCACTGTCTCCTTAAGAGGTAGCCTAAAGAAGCCTTTACCTCTTTCTCACCACACCCCAGGGGCTCTGGAGAATGACTGAGAGCCCTCCTGTTTGCTGCCGTCCTCCCTCTAAGTGCCCTTGGACAGATCTGGCAAGCTCATGTCCTGGTCTTCACTCTCCTCTATTCCCTCCACCTTCTCTAACCTTCTCCAGGGCTGCATGGGCACATCTTGAGAAAGCTCCTCTGAATCTAGCCTGGAAACCCCAGCACTGAGGGTGTGGAGTGGTCTCCGCAGACCATGATTTGAGAGTACTTTGGGGTCAGTATTTAGTCATTGGCTGATCTGCCCCCTTTTCTTGGTGTTTTCTGCCCTCCCTCATTGCCTGGGTCCAAACTGGTCTCACTCAGTGAGTCAAGTGGGTTGTGTGCATTGGGGCCAACCCTGCACTTTTGGTTGACATTCTTTTTACCTGAGCTTTGAGAATGTGGCTCCAGGGAAGACTGCGGCCTCAGGGGAAATGCTGGGTGGAAAGTCTCTATGAAGGTGGATGGAGAGAAAGGAAGATCTAGTATGAGGAGGGTAGCAGAGACTACTGAGTTCCTTGTGATGCTAGAAACTTTGCCCAAGTACAGCAGAAGAGAGAACTATTGTAGGGCTGGGTCTAGGGTAAGAAGTAGTAGAGAGAGCTAGTTTTCTGCTTCCTCCCCTACTTTCTGTCTATGCCCAAAGAAGATAAAGCAGCTTGAGAAAGAGTAGAGAGTATAGGTCACTCGTGTCCATCACTGTCTGCCAGCATCCAGCATTGCCTGGCATACAGCAGGAGCTCAGCAAACATTTGTTGCAAGAATGAAGGGCCATTGCCCTGGACCATGTTGCTTAGTGGTTAAAGTGTCAACTGGTGCATCAAAGGGTCACAGGTTTGATTCCTGGTCTAGGGCATTTACCTGGGTTGCAGGTTTGATCCCAGGCCCTGGTTGGGGTGGGTGTGGGAGGCAACCAATGATGTGTCTCTCTCACATCAATGTTTCTCTCTCTCTCTCTCTTTTTTCTCTCTCTCTCTCTCCCTCATCCCACTCTCTAAAAATCGATGATTAACAAAAAGAAAAGAAAAGAAAAAAAAAGAAAGACTGTGGTTTAGGGAGTTTGAGGAAATGCTTCTTGAAATTTTTTCTTTCCAAGAAGTCTGATCAAGATGGTTTGCGGCGGGGTAGCTGGGCATTTGTTGAGGGTCTCTAGTTAGGGTGTCACAGACTCTTAGGCTGGCTGCTGTAGGGGACTGCAGGGAAGAGAAGAGTCGGCTGGAAGCCCAGTGCTGCCCTGGCAGTGAGGAGGGAGGCAGTTTTTACTGAAGACACAAAAAAAGAAGTGAGCCCAGGGAGCGAACCCCAGCCCCTTCTGCCTGCCCCCAGGCCTGTGTGGCAGAGGGAGAGGGCAAATGAGCAAACAGAGAAGCCTGAGTGAAGAGGGAGGAAGAACAGGATGCAGAGGGCAAACCCGCCGGAATCTGACCTGAGCTGAGTCCTGCTGAGGCTGGTAGGAGGCAAGGGCCCCAGAGCCCTGTGCCTGGCTTCCCTCGGAGGGTCCTCTTGCCAGCTCGGAGCTGCGCGGTCTGCAGTAGGACTGGGGAAGCGCTCTCAGTCTGGCCAGGTGGCTTCACTCTTCTTTGGGGCACAGATGCTACGGCAGCCGAGTACTAGACCAGATGGTCCATTTGGAGTTGGTTCCCTCTTTCCTTTCAGCCTCCTAATCTCCTGGCCCAGTTTGTTGTGCTCCAGGGTGGACCCTGCAAGCCACTTTCTGGCAGGCTAGGGTGCTGGTGGTGGGCTGGCCCTCGAGGCCTAGTTCTGGGCAAAGGCAGCAGCTAAGCGAAGAAGGAGTATCCTTCGTGAGGAGAGCATCAGAAACCGCCTCTCCTGGCTTCCTGTCTCCTCTCTGAGCAGGCGGACTTCCAGGCAGGGGCAGGTTGAAGGGATTCCTCTCCCTTACAGAAACACAGCAAACCTCTGGATTATTTAATATGCAGGAGTAGGAATTGACATTATCCTTAAGACAGGTTGTTTGCAACTTACTGGTGGAAGTCAAAATATTTCACCAAAGGTGTCATCAGAAACTACTATCCTATGCTAATTTTTGTGGGAACATGAAGACAGATGTTGAATAATTTGACAAGAGCAACATAGCTTACAGAATTATCACCAAGTCAGTTTTTTTCCCTCCTCTAAAGGGTACAGAGAAGGAATTTCAGGAAGCATGTCTCCCAGCGCCGTATTCTGGGTGTTGATCGAGACATGGGCACACCTGGGGTTTCACTAGTTTCCACCCCGTTACTGAAACTGCCTGTCCAGATCGGACTCTTCCCTTGGAGAGAGCATCGTGTCGGAAAACTGTGGTCCCCTCAGGGCTAACAGAAAGCTTAGAGTTTTCCAAGTGTCCTCAAGAAGGTCCATGCCTCCAACGGCCCCTCCTTCTCAGTTACAGAAACTGGGTGAGGGGCAGGGAGGGACTTGTGTCCCCATATCCAGGCTGTTTGTTTGCTTTGTCAGCATCGTCTGTACCCCCTCACTGATGTTGGCTCCTGACCTGCCTGAGGGCTCCCCAGTTCTGGAGTCAGACCAACGAGCCCCCCTAGAGTCTAGATCTGCATGTCTCATCCTACGAATCTGTGCTTCCTGGCGGGGGGAGGGGGTCCCGACGGGTGGTGGGGTGGTTAGAGAGGATTATATTAGTCAGGAAAGCACCCTTGAGGGGTCGGGCTGTGGACATGCTAAGGGCCTACTTGTAATTGGCGGGGCTTGGCTGTGAGCTGCTGGGGCCGGGTGGCAAAGCCTCATTTAAAGCCTGGTATTAGCTCTGCTTTGCTGGAACATGGAGGGATGGGCGGGGGGCTCCATAGGGAGAATGGAGGGAGCTAATCACAGCAGCCAAGGCCAGCAAATGAATGATGCAGGAAATCAATACCTGGGTGTGGGAGTGGAAATCTGGGCAGTGGTAGCAGCCGTGATTTCTCTGGCTGCCCAGGAGGCACAGGCAGGCCTGGGAGGAGCGAGGCAGAGGCAGGAGTGTGGTGCACCCTCCTCTATACTTCACATTCTCCCTCCTCTGCCCCCAATTCTGCCCCCCCCCTTCAGCCTTGCCTCTCCTTGTGGCTGGGCTCAGGGAGCTTGGGCCAGGAAATACCCCACCCAGCAAAGACAGGGAACCTAGAGATGGGATCTTGGGCCTCTCAGTCCTGGAAGAGCCCTGCCCTGCCCCTACCTGCCTCTGGACACAGCCTGATTGCTTCAGGGGTGTGTGCCTGGGGACCCTGCCCTGTGCACCTGGCACAGCCACTCCAGATGTGGCCACTCCAGGGGGCGGGCTTGGCCGCCACATTGCTTAATGCTTTTCCTAGGCTTCCTTGGCCTCAAGACTCCAGAGGGATGACACTTATTCTAATTCTTTAGCCTGCGGCCCAAGGGGGCTCCTTAGGCCTGAAGTTCCATGCCCCCCTCCGGCTCCCCTGTTTTTCCT